GCCTGGCCGTCCCTCCCCAGGCAGGTGAAATCCAAGAACTCCAGGCCCTGGGGCTGTTCACACTGTTTATTTGCGTCTCTGGGAAAGTCAAGAACATTGGGGCCTCATCACACATTGAAAGCAGAGCGGGCAGCAAGGGCACTTCAGCGGAGGCTCACAGCTCGAGGACTCAGGTGGAGTCGAGGAGGAAGGGGGGGGTTCCATGGCCACTGCTCAGGGTCACCTCAGAGAGGGCCTCTCATCCCAGCCACCCAGGGGCAGAGCCGAGATGGGGACCCAGGCTGCGGTCCAGGGCGGCCCCTGCACCCACCCTGCTGAGGTGGGGGGCGGCCTGGGCCCTGGGCACCAGGCTGCAGGTCCCTAGGGGAGGGGCCGAGATGGGGCCTGGTCATCCACAGCCCACACGAGAGGGCCTGTGAGCATGTGCACTAATGTGCCTCTGGGGACGAGTGTGGCTGCAACCAGGGAGATGTGTCTGTACATCTAGGTGTCAGCTGCCCCCAGGAGGGGAGCCCCTCACCCCTCACCGCTTCCAGTGAGAGGGGGGCAGGCGCACATCAGGCTGGGAAGCAAATGGGGGTCTCCAGCTGCAACCCAGGGGAAGGTCCCTGTCCCAGGTGGTGTGCCCCCCTCCACTGCCCAGAATGAGCCAAGCCCAGCAGAGCTGGTGGTGGGCCTGATCTCTGGGGTGTGGGTGGGGAGACCCAGGACCCTGGTCCAAGCAGGCTGGAGAAGGGGCCAGGCCAGGGGCAGTCCCCCAGGGTCCCTGAATTAGCACCAGGAGGAAGGAGGGCCCAGAGGGGGTGAGAGCTCAGGACATAAAGGGGCTCACGTGGCCCTGCCTTGTGCAGGAGGCAGCTCGAAGACCCCCGGCCCAGCCCGGCCAGAAGACAGCACAGCGGTCACGCCCCTGCTGAGTGGGTGGCATATCCTCAGGGCTCCCCCTTCCCAGGTTGCATCGTCCACTGGCTGCACCCACATAGAGCATTGGGGGGGAGGGGCACATCAGGCTGGGGTGTCCAGCGGGGCCCGTACTCCATTCCAAGACCTCGAGCTTGGGCTCCCCAAAGAGGCACAGCCTCAGCCCGACTGCCCGAGATCCGGACCCAGCGCCTTGGCCAGGGAACGCCCCCCCCCCCACTTCCAGAGGCCGAGTGGAGACAGAGCAGGCCCCCAGAACCCCTGGCTCCCGGGACCCCTCTCCGGCAGGGTGTCCCCTCAGGGACCTCATTGGAGGTGGCAGGAAGGCACAGGCAGGAGGCCCAGAGGGAGGTGGGCTGGCCTGGGGCTGCTTTGAGGCTCCAGGTCACACCAGCCAGGACCGCTGTGGGCAAGAGCCGCATCTGTGGAGCTGCCGTGACATGGGTGTGTGTGTGGGGGGCCCTCGTTCGGGGTGAAGCGGGTGTGTCCGTGTCTCTCCTACCAGGCGTGGGTACACGGCTCAGTGGTTTAGGGTGTGTGTGGGGGTGACGGGAGGGGGAACCCCTGTCCCTCTCTTTCCGGTGAAAGAAAACTCAGAAGGAACGTGTGAAGACACAGCATGTCCTGGGCCCGCGATTGTGGGTGGAGGGTGGACGGGCGCCAAGAGGGCCGGGCTGTGTGGGTGTCTGGTGTGGAGGGCGGGGCCGGGGTCTGGGGCGTCCAGGTGGGTCACATAATGGAGCAGCATTTACAGCGCTGCTTCTTGACGTCGAGGTCCTGGGGGTCGCTGGCAGGGGCCTCGAGCCCCACCTGGTTCTCTTCCCTGGAGCCCTCGGTGGCAGGGGGCTCGGCCGCACTGCCGTTGGGCGGGGCAGGCTCCTTGGGCTCGGCCGCGTCCTCAATGACCACCAGCTCTGCGGTGATGGTGTCCTGCAAGCCCAGCACCTTCTGGGTCTCGGCCTCATCCTCCACATTCTGGTAGCCCATGAAGATCATGGTGACCGGGGGCTCCTGGCCCGGCTGGATGCCGGGAGGGCCTGACGTGGCCTCGCCGGGCTGGGCCTGAACTCCAGTGATCTCCCGCCTGGATGGCGTGGTCCGGACGGCCTCCTCCGACGGCCCCCGGGGCTCTGCTGACCCGGCCACAGACCCTGCCTCACTCAGCGTGACCTCGTCCGCCTTGTGGATGAGTTCGTCCACCTCAGAGGAGCTCAGCGGGTGAATCCCATTCTCCGCCGTGCCGTCCACGGCGTGGACCACTGACATGTGGGGGGAGAGAAGGAAAGAGGGAGCTGGTTCCCAGACAGGAGGGGAGGCCTGGCAAGGTTAAGAGCCACCTCTAGGCTAAAGGGGAATCGTAAACTAAATTACACCTTTGGAACCAACTGACAATTAAAGCTCCTATGGGAATCTGTGGGCACAGGCAAATTGGTGCACAGAGGAAAATTTATAGGCACAAAAGCATGTGTTAGAAACCAAGAAAGAATAAATGAATTGGGATTTTATTGTCTCGCGGTTTTGAAGCATTTCCATATTCCCCAGGCAACTTGCTCCCAGGTGATTACCTTGCAAAGTAGGTCTGTTTTTTTTTTCCATCGCAAAGACGGAGAAAATGGAGTTCAGAGAAGGGTAGTTAACTAGCCCCACGTCACACGGCCGGCTGCGACCGGCCCCTGCTCTTTATACCAGCCTAGGCATTCCTTTCATGAGGATTTGCGGGGATTCTGATTTCCTCCTTCCTTGAGCTCACGTGGATGATCTTGAATTAAAGTTTAGTTCATTCACCCATCTTTCTTGTTTTCTAGTAAATGCCCCAAAGGCTATACATTTTCCTCCGAGTTCTGTTTCGGCTGCGGTTCATGGATTACATTATGTCATTTTGTTTCAGGTGTAAATATCTTATAATTTCCATTTTGATTGATTACCTCTTTAAGCCAAGATTTATTTAGAAGAGTGTTTTTAAATCTGGGGGAGTCGGGGACTGTGCACCAGGAAAACAGAGTGTAAGAGACAACCCTGTAAAAGGATATGGTCACTTTCTGAAAATGCTCCACCCTTGTTTGAAAAGAATGTGTATTCTCCATTGGGCCGAGTTTTATATGTGCAGTCAAGCTTAAGTGTATTTTCCAATCTCTCCGGCTTTTGTCATCCGTGTCCCCCTGATGTGTCATTTTCTAACCTGTGTTACAGTCTCTGAGGACCGCACTGCGGCACCCGGGAGGTGTCCCAGCTGTGGTCTGATGCCAGCCCCAGATCACAGCCCTTCTAGAAACACAGCTGCCCAGCTGCTTAGCATGGAGGGAGGGACACACTGGACACCCCAGGGACTCGCCTCCTCCCAGGCCAAGGTTCAGGGTTGGCCAGTTTCTGGCTTCTGGCCAGAAGGAAAGTGCTTTCCGCTCTCAGTTTCCAGATCCCTGGGGAGCGGCGTCCATGCATCAAGGCCTTGCAGTGACTTTGGGCTCGAGGCCCAGAGGGTGGGGTGTGCCCAGGTCACACAGACCCAAGCTAGGTATTTCCCACTGGCCACTGCCCCAAGGTAGGAATCCGAGCCCTTGGCTGCCATGGAAATGGATCACCTTCCCATTGCTAAGCAACCAGAGTCCAGTCTGGCGGGTCCCGAATCCCCAGGGGTTGGGCCAGGCAGGGCTCAGTGGCCAAGGTGAAGACCTTCTGTGAGCACAGACATCTCTGCTCCTTGGCCCTGTGCGGTCTCACCCTTGTCCAGGAAATGGGGCAGCTGGGACGCGCCCAGAACCACACAGCCCGTGAGAACGGGAGCTGGGATTCTACTTGGGTCGATGCCCCCAAATTACAGCAGAGCTGGGCTGTGACAAGACCCCTTTAATAGCATCCTGGATATCCCAGAGGCCTGAACCTCTAAAAACACGGGGCTTTGGGAATCAAAAGCACAGTGAGATACCACTCCACACCCACTAGGATGGCAATAATAATAATAACAATTTAAAAATGGTCAATAATAAGGGTTGTTGAGGATGTGGAGAAATTGGAACCCTAACACACGGCTGGTGGGAAAGTAAAATGGTGCAGCCACTGTGGAAAACACCCCAGCAGTTCCTCAAATGGTTAAACCTGGAGTCCCCACGTGACCCAGCAATTCCACGCCTAGGTATCACCCGAGAGAAGTGAAAACATACGCCCCCACAGAAACTTGTATAGCATAAAACCAAAAGGTGGAAACATTCCAAACGTCCGACAACCGATGACTCGATAAACAAAATGGGGTCCATCCATACGCTGGAATACTACTCGGCCATAAAATATAAACATGGATGGATGAACCCTGAAAACGTGATGCTCAGTAAGAGAAGTCAGACACAAAAGGCCACACAGTGTATGATTCCATAGATGGGAAACGTCCAGAACAGGCAAATCCATAGATGGAGAGTGGATTCGTGGTTGCCATGGTGGGGATGGGGCAGGGATGGGGTTTCTATTTGGGGAACAGAAATGTTCTGGAATCAGCTAGTGAGGGTGTACAACACGGTGAATATTCCAAAACCCACTGAGTTGTATACTGAATTGCATGGGTGTCCTGCATCCTCTCTCTCCAAATTCCATATTCTCATATGAGGGCAGCATTTACAGACTCACTAATGGACCCTGAGGCTGAGCTGTGTTAATTTTATACTTGACTCAAGGGATCAGCTCTGGGGACCCCATGTCCTGAAGAAAGCAAATGTTTGCCTTGACTTCAAATGTACTTTTAACATCTTCTTAAAATGCTATCTTTACTAAGGGAAGTTTGCTTCTATTCCTGGCATCATAGCAAATGTTGCCCCAAATTTCCCCTTCCCAGTCACGTCATGCCGAAAATAATGCCAATAAATGCCAGGATGTTTACGAGATGGCTGTCTAAATTCTGACAGATTTCACGGTTTAAAGGAAAGTCTTCCTTAGTTAAAAAAAAAAAAAAAAAAGTGAATTTTACGTTCTCTGAATTATATATAGAGAGAGGCAGGCACTCAGGAGCTTTTGCCGAAGGCTGCCCTCTCCTGCCGTTCCCAGCTTCCTTGTGCGTATTTCCCACAGCCTGCTCCCCTCCCAGCCGCTAGAGGGAACCCTAAAACCCAAACCAGATCTCAGCACCGTGGCCCCTGCCACCCCCGCCAAGGCTCACCACCCCCCCACACACACGCTCCACATCAGCCGCACGGGCTCCTCTCGATTCCCCAGCCCAGCAAACTCCATCCCACCTCGGGGCCTCTGCACGCGCTGTGTCCTCACCAGGCGCACTGCTCCCCCACACCCACTGTGCACCTTCTCACCTCCTCCGCCCCCTCCCCGCACTGCTGGACCCTCACTCGGCCCCCTCTGCACCTCTGGGTTTTGTTTTTTTTTTTTTTTAGCCTTTGTTACAACAGTAACTATTTAAGTGAGTTGTCTGTGAAATCGGGGTTGAAGGGCTGGGCCCTCTGGCCGGGAAGCGCCCAGGACAGCAGGTGCCACTCGGGATTCGCCTCCCCAGCCCAGCCTGGCGCTGGCCACGCCTCCGGGTGGGTTCCTGGAGGGAGGGAGGGCTGGGCCTCAGGCGCTGGCGGGGCGGGGCGGCGGCGGCGGGGCGGGGCGGGGGCGGGGCGCGTACCTTTGGTCTCGTCCTCGTAGACCTTGATGCCCTGAGGGGGGCGCTCCCGGGGGAGCGCGCGGGTGCTGGACAGCACCCGGGTCTCCCCCGTCACCTTGTTCTTCTCCACCGTGATCTCCACCGAGTACATGGCTGGCACGAGAGGCACGGGTCACGCGCGGCCCCCCTGCCCATGTGCCCCCCGCCGGGCTGCAGCCAAGCCAGGAAGGGGAGCCGGCAGCGCAGAGCCAAGCAGCAGGTGCCCTCGACGCGGCCCCCCCCCCAGCTCAGCGTCCTTCCCTAGCTCCCCAGTCCCGTGGGCGAGGGGTCTGAATTCCTGCGCTGGGGATCCGAGGGCACCCCGGCCACCCCGCCCCGTCTGCAAAGCCCTGAACTGTCCCAGTGACTCGGGGGCGTCCCTGGCCCACTCCAGCCAGGACTGGAACGCGGGTGAGCAAGCTCGCGCCCCCCAGTGTTCTGGACTGCCGCGTTCTCTGTGCTGCACGTCTAAGTCGACTACTGATATATCGATATCCTCACCTGCTGCACTGTGCAGAGGGGATGATTCCCTCTGGACACGAATGCAGTCACATCCCGTTAAGGCCATCGCTCAACAGCCAGCATCCGACCCCGTTCTGCAGACATCGTCTGCCTGGGGTCCCCAGCCCCCCTCCATGAAGGGCCCCACATCACCACGGCCAAGGCCCCTCCCAGGTCTTCCCATCTCCCCCAAGGACACCTCCGTTCTCCCTCCTCCCTCTCTCACCACTCCCACAACCCCTCCTCGGTCCATCTGCAAACTTCTGCGTGCTGCCTTCAGAACTCCCAGAACCCGCCCACTTTTCGTGCCTCCGCAGGCCCTGCGCGGGGGGGTGGGGGGTGGAGGGTGAAGAGCTGCATCCGCCCCCACTATTCCCCACCACCTTCACCCCACCGTCCCCCGCAGCATGCCCACGCCGTCCTCCTGGACCATCTGCCCCACCATTTCCTCCTTCATCCCCCCACCATCCTTCCCCCTCCCCGCCACCCCTATCATTTCGCCCCACCATCCCTCGCCATCATCCCCCCATCCCCCACACAATAACCCGCCATCCTCCACCATTTACGCCCCACCTTCACCCCCCCCCC